CGAAGACAAACACGCTACGGCGTCCTTACCTACCGCCTGACGCAGGTGCTTACCGGATACGAAAGTTTCGGGAGGTTCCTGTTTCGGATTGGGTGGGAGAAAACGCTCAGGTGTCATCATTGCGAGGGCCGCCCAGAGTACACGGTGGAGCATGCCGAGGCAGTGTGCCCTGCATGGGCTGAACACCGCCGTGTCCTGAGGAATGTAATCGGGGCGACGGCGACCTCTCGCGTCCGACACTGGTTCAGACCATGGTACGGAGCGAGCGAGACTGGGATGCCGTCTCCTCCTTCTGCGAAACAGTCCTGCTAGCTAAGGAGGAGGCGGAGCTCGTGAGGGAGCGAGCCTTCTCACGCTCTAGCCGTCATGAGTGACACTCCAGGCGTCGAGGATCACGAAACGTCTCCGGCCACCGTAAGCACGGGCCTGCGGTCGGCGAGCACGGATGACTCGCCGCCCGATCAGAACCAGACCCGAGCGTACGGCGCGTCCCGTTCCGCATACGCTCCAAGGAGCCATCAGACCACCACAGATAGGGCTTATGCCGATGCGGAGCCGCGGAGGACTTAACGGGTGACCGGGGCTTCGGCTCGAAGTGCAGGAGTAGGAATGGGGTGGTTTTTAGTTAGTAAGAGTCTGAAACTCCCTCTCGCCTCACCCACGCGGCCGCCGGCGGCCGGCGGGAGAAGGCATTGGATGATATTTCTCTTATTTGATTGAGTGAGCTGCGCGACGTCGCCGCGATCGCACACGCTGCTCATGAGGAAGAACCCCTCTGTGGTTCGAAACTAGTAGAGCTTTTCTCAGTATATTCACGTGAGTAACCCGCGTTTTTGTTTATGATATTTCTCCCTCAAAAAAAAAGGTATCATGTAAGATTACCTAGCTGTTGAACGTCAGTATATTGCTGTCGAACGTCCGTATATAGCTATTGAACGTCCGTATATAGCTATTGGGCGTCCGTATATAGCTATTGAACGTCCGTATATAGCTATTGGGCGTCCGTATATAGCTATTGAACGTCCACGTATAGCTATTGTGCGTCCGTAATAAGTAAATAAGATAATAAGAAAATATCTTATTACTAGAATGTTTTAATTATCTCATAAATAGTGAAAAGTGTATATTACATTTTACAGTGGCATTAAGTGCCTTAATGTGCACCTCTGCTTACCCCTTCG